ATAAGGTGGACATCATCAGGGATATAGTAGTCCCTTCGGAACTCGGCCATAGCACCTGGGGTGTTTACCAAATATCTATATTTACCCATTGATTATTAAATTATCAATAACTTAGCTGAAGGATTAGCTTGGTCAAGAAAAGGCGCCTAGTAGCTTGGTTTAGCAATCAGAGGAGTGCCTGGCCAGCCTAAGTCTACAAAGTAAAAAAGAAAGGTGTTAAGCACTGATCATTGGACCGTGCTACAAGAAACAAGGGCAAGATAAATAAAGTCCTAGCTCGGCTACGCAAGACGCTATCAGTTTTTAGCTCGGATTGATCAAGGGGCTTTTTAGCCCGGTTGAGCTTTTGGGGCAGCACCCTTAGTTCAACGAACTAAGGGAGCTGGTTTAGCCCCAAGTTTTAGCTCGGTCGGTGGTTAAGGCTATTGGGGGAGCAATCTTAGCTCGGTCTGAACTAAGGGAGCTGGTTTAGCCCTAAGTTTTAGCCCGGTCAGCAGTTGAGGTTTTCGAGCACGGTATTGCGCAAACTTAGTGCGGTTCGATAGCTCGGTTAAAAGAAGCAGAGGGTCCCTAACTTATGGAAATCACAAGTATGGCATAAGTTCTAATGCGGTTGTTGGTTGTGGCTAGGCTTGTATCTAATACAAACAGTATCCTAGTTCGGTTGATGCGTGATTTTGGATCAAATACAACGTTCTTCAATTTATTCGTAAGTACCAGTGGTTATATTACAAAGGTTTTTCCAGAAAATGGAAGCAAAAATAGAACATACGCTTTGAAAAAACATAAACATGCTTTGTGTTGCAAAAAGAGGTGCGAAATCAACAAAGAGGTTAAGTTACTTACAAGAATAGAGGCAAGTCGATGAAGATCCAAGTTGCAAGAAAGAACACGAGCTTTGCAAAAAAAATAGTGGTTGCAGAAATGGAGGCTCGAACAAGAGAGAAAGTGGAGAAAGAAGAAGGTGAATAGTGTTGCGTTTGAAGAATAGGGTTTTTGTGAAGAATTCGAGTTTAGGCGGGACTGTTCAAATGTTGAAAAGTACGAAGAACGGCGTGACAACTTTTCTGGGCCAATTAGCGTTTGCCACGTGTCCTTTGGAATGAGAAACGATTCAGTTACAGTGATTGAAGAGACGTTTTGACCGGACAGATGGGTAGCCCGGTGTGGTTTAGCTCGGTTGAAAAACTAAAGTTTTTATCTCGGCTGGTAGCAGGTAATCCCTATCATGCTATGCAGATGAAATTAAGGAGCAATTGAGAGGGTAATTTATAAGTAAATTGGGCCAAGCTAAGTAATGGGCCATTCTATGCACCGCAGTAAAAAGAGGTGAGTAAAAGGGCCTGGTAGTTACCACGGTCCAAAAGAGTTTTGTAGTTAGCTCGGTCGGCATGGTCAGAATGACAACAGTTAGCTCGGTCAAAACCACATTAAGCCAAGGTATTTTGGGCTTTTTCTCAAGACATTGCTACTGAATAGCTCGGTCTAAGCACGCTATGGATAGCATGGTCTCAACAGGTGAAACCGAAGGACTAGTAACAGAGGAGAGAACCGAGCTAGGTAGAGCTCGGTCTTTTCGGCCAGTTTAGCATGGCTATGTTATCTCGGTCGTTTGCCTTACTGCCGAGGTAAAACCATCTCACTTGGTTTAAGCAGTGAGGGGGGTGTTGAAGGATAAACATTATCTTTCAGGAATGTGATTCCTAGGAGGACTCTACATGGAAAAGTAAGAGTCCCACTAAGTTTGTGCCACGCGGAACCTATAAAAGCTCATAGCATCACCTATGGAGAGGTAACATAACTTTAATTCCCGAATACACAGAGCTTTTTGTATATTTGTCTATTTTGCTGATTTAGGCATCGGAGAGGTATCCGGCACACACCCGCCGGCAAGCTCACGTTTGTGTTTTTAGAGAGTAAAGCGACGTCGTACGGAGGAGCGCAGACTTGATCAACAGGATTATACGAGAAGGTTTATTTCTTTCCCGTACAAACGGTATTAACTTAGTTGTACAAATGACCATAATACCCTTTACACTTAATAGCCTTTAATTATAATTTACCTATATATTAAATAATCATTTTATTTCTCACATTTTTTTTTTGGTATTTCCTTGACTTTGTATTTTTTTCCACTATAAGTTTAAAAAAAAAAAAATCAACCATTAATGAAATTAAGAAAGAATATCCATGTTTCTTATTTCAATTAATTTTGAGATTTAATTTAATAAAAATAATTTAAATGAAAGAAACAAAGATGGAAATAGAAATTTTAGATGAAATAAATAACAAATTATTTGAGTATTTTATTATTTTCAAATAATTTATTTCTTCAAGTAAAATTCTATTTTAATTAGATGTAAGAAATGACAAGTTTAAATAGTTTATTGTATTCTCAAATAGTTTCTTTATCTTTCATTCCCTATCATCTAATTTTAATTTATTGTAACGTGATTATATATTTTTACACTTTTATATTTATTTTTAAAAATTTTATTAAGGTTAGAAATATTGACTTATTTTTTTTAATGATAGTTAAAATTTGAGAATAATATAGGATTGTGAAAAGATAAAATGATAATTTTTTTATTATATATTTATGAGGTAACATTTGGTAATTTTTATAAGTCATTTTTTTTTATTATAAATATGAAATGTTATTATGTTTATTTTTCTTAAAAAAAATTTAATACACAAATAGGTTTTACAAAAAATAAAAATAAAAAAATTCATGTTTCATAAGTTGCTATGGTATTGGATGATACTAGCTAACATTGTTGAAAGAGAAAAAATGATAAAAAAAATTAAGGAAAAAATATAGCAAAGAGAACAAATAATAATACTAATAATAAATTATATGATGTGGCTATTTGCTGTAGTGACACTACGAAAAAAATGAACAAGAAAACAAAGAGAAAGAAAAATGAAAGAAATAAAATAAAATAAAAAAATTGAAAGAGAGGGATAATTTCTCCAAATATGTATTTTTCATACGAAAAAAAAAAATCAAATACCTATATGTATTTTTAAATTTTTATTCAAACTCTAATTTCTCAAAATAATTATTTATAAAATTGGTGGTTTTTTTAAAAAATAAAACATGTTTTATACTTTGTTTTGTAATTTTTAAATAAATGGTTGTATTTAATCTAGTATAAGGTTTAATGGTGATCAATTTATTACAACAATTGATATAATCTAGTATAATTATATCAATTGATATAATCTAGTATAAGGTTTGAAGAAATTACAACAAATTCAACAATTTTGATATTATTATATTGGTGTGAAGACAAATATAAATAATATAAAATATATTTTTAATGTAAAAGAGATGAAAACATAAATTTTGTGTTTATATAACAAACGAATTTATGATAAAAATAGGAGTTGTTTGGGAAGTTAAGTTTTTAATCAAAAGGTCACTACAAGTTATCAAAGCATTCTATATATTTTTTTATATGTTTTTTTTTTCATAAAAAGTAATAAAGTTAATTCTTAAATGAGTTCTAAGACTTCGTTTGGAAAGTAACTTTTTAATTTTTTTTTTGACTAAAATATGAAATAAAAAAAAAATAAAGTGATTTTTTGGCTTTTTACCCAAAAACATGGGAAAAAAATAGATAGAATGTGAATGAATATTTGATTTGTTTGTATGAGCCAATTTTTTTTTTTTGTTGACTTTTTTAGTAGTTTTTTTTGATTTTTTTTACTAAAATTCTTTTATCCCAAACGGACCCTAAATATTATGTGAATTAAAATATTAGAAAAATATCATTTTAATAGAAGGTAGGAAAAATATTTACAAATTAATAAAAAACTTTGCTATATAAAAGTTAACTCATAAATTTTTTCATAAAATTGATATTTATTTTTCGACTTTCCACAGATTTAGTATTTTCCCTAAAACATTTAAGTGAATCCAAATATAGTAAAATAATATAATGTCATAGCATTATTGTTTTGCTTCTAGCTCAAGTTAAGCAAAAAAAATTTAATCCAAATTAATTTTGATTTGGGTAGAGTGTAAGTAACGGGGAACAACTTTAACGACACACGTTCATACTATTATATTATTCAATGAATAGTTTTTCATTAAAACTGTTGACAGTTTTTGAGAGAAAATGAACTGAAACGAAAACGAAAGAAAAAAAAAATCCTAACTTTATTTTGCTTATATATGTAAGAACCAATTTAGTATGAATTTACGGGGTTTGGGGTTGGCACCAGTGCTGTGATTGGGGGTGTCTCAAGTTGTTTTCGATAATTTGAACTATTTATATTGTAAGATTTATTAAATATACTATTTATAAAAAAAATTTAAATTAATCGAACATATGTAACCCTATGATCAACGTCAATTATTTTTAAAAAAATTATCAAAATTATGCCACCTGTTTGTTTTTGTTTAAAATAAATATGATTTTATTATGGGATTATAGATATCCAATTCATCTGATTTTTTTTATGCATAATCTACTCTACAAACCTTATTATATGAATGATCCAGATCATAAAAATATACTCGGGACACGCCACGACGGGGCTTCACAACAGCCGTGCTGTGCCATAAGATACAGCACCTAGCCCAAGTCCGAATTTACGAGTTAAGCTTGGATTAAACTAAGGTAAATCAAATCGGGTAAAAGATTTGAATTGAGTCGGTCTTGGGTAAGGAACATATGTAAATACTCTAAAGTCTGATATAGGGTAAATTATACCAGCAGTTGTTCTTATAATTAAATCAAAGTGTCACTTAAGCTTTTGTAGTTTCAACTTGTGCTTTCAGTTTTGTTACTATGTGGTCCTATTATACACCGTTAACATTTTAAATGAAAAAAAAAAAATCACATGTAAAACTTAGGGAACCAAAGTAAAATTTAAAAGAAATTATAGAAATTATCAGTGTAGTTCAAAATTATAACCATGATAGAGAGATCATATTGTAACAAAATAAAAAATTTATGGTTCAAATTACGAGGACTAGAGCGAAACTTCAGTTGAACAAAAATAACCAATGGTGTGATTTACCCTCTTATATATTTTAGGTTCAATGAAGAGGATGAACAAAGCTAGATTATGACAGTAATTCTCTTCTCAAAAGCAACTGCACAAGCATATATGCTAGCATGACTTCATTCATACAAGACCAATAGATTCTGACAATTTGAGGCACATGTGAATTTTTTTAGTGGATCAGCACAAATAAAACTGAAAACTAAAGGAGAGAGAAAACAAGAGACATTATCAGCAAAGCAAGGATAGAACACAATTACATGAAATTTTTTTTTTTAATGTAACTTGCCTCTTCACTAGAGATTCATTTGATCGCATATCAACCACTTCTTATGCACGAAGTTGGTGCCATTTAGTGGTCGTAAGTGTCTGGATCCTTCAAGTATTTGTTGTAAAGCAACTTGGATGTGTCGAGAGCATCTCCATTGCTTTGCACCGGATACAAATTCGTACTGCTTTGCCAATCATTTGTAAGCTTAATCCATTCCTTCCTCCAATCTTCCATGCGAAAATCGTCACCCCTCTCCAAACTCTCTGTCAGAAATTTGAAATATATGGCTGCTCTGGGGCCATAGTAATCTCGTAGAAGCCCACTCCAGTACTTGTTTCCTAGAAGAGGAGAAACAATGTATCAATGTGCATCATATGAACATTTTCCTAATGATAAAAACAACTTAATTAAGTCTGGTAAAAACAAGAAAAGCCAACTTCTGTTAAAAAACCTCAAAAAGTTTCCTAATGATAAAAACTTAGTTAATTTGAAAGTTGTTTCTTCACTTTTTATTTTTTTGTCTTTAATGAACTTATTTTATTTTTTTATTTTGAGCCTACTTTATTTTATTTTCTACTTTCTAAGTTTATCTAGTCTAGACGACCCTAAAAAAATTTAGAACTTTGAAAAGAGTTTGGTAAAGACAAAAAAAGCCAATTTCTGTTAAAAAAACCTCAAAAAGTTTCCTAATGATAAAAACAACTTAGTTAATTTGAAAGTTATTACTTCGCTTTTTATTTTTTTGTCTTTAGTGAACTTTTTTTTTTTAATTTTGAGCCTATTTTATTTTATTTTTTACTTCCTAGGTTCATTTAATCTAGATAACCTTAAAAAAATTTAAAACTTTGAAAAGAGTTTGGTAAAGACAAAAAAAGCCAATTTCTGTTAAAAAAACCTCAAAAAGTTTCCTAATGATAAAAACCGAGCTTGTCTCTATGTTTCTAGGAGTTTGAGGTTACGATATGAATTATTGTGATAAAATTATTTTCATTATGAAAATTTCAATTTCTCTAAAAAGTTTAAAAAAAAAAAAAAAAGATTCGATATTTAAAAAAGTTCATAAAAATTGAAAAAAGAGCCAGCGTAAGGAAGTTTTGGATGGAATATTTGCTCAGCACGTATAGCAATCCTCTATGAACACACTATAAGTTGAACTGCAGAGGATTGCTGATGGAAAACTAATAAGAGAACTAAAGGCTTAAGAGTTAAGACAATCCATACCATAGTCACGAAGCAGACTTGCCTCCTCCTCTGTGTTGTCAAACCACATAGTTATTTGAGTTCTTGCATTCCACTCATACTGTAGATTTGCATCACCATCAATTAAGTTATCCAACAGATCGAATAAAATTTACCTAGTTATTTAGTGGAAGAGCTCCTCACCTGCTTTTTCTGCTCTCTGTCTTGAGCAAGTTGCTTTGCGCTCTCTAGCCAAGGTCCTAGAAGAAATCCATTATGACAAGCTAAAAGTGTGTCCATATCTTCCACGAGCCCTAGAAACTTTTGGCTGTAGTGAGCAACTCCGTGTACATCATCTAATTGATAAGCTTCTATAACCTGTATGAACAATTGGTTTGCATATTTCGCCAAAGCTTGTCTTGTTAGGTCGACAAGGTCATACCTGATAATACACAATAAAACAACGCATGAGGATACCTATGAATTTTACAATGGAAAAGGGCATATGGAGACCAACTAAAAAAGAGACATGACAGATGTGACTAGTAGTGATTGAAGATTCACATAAAAATGGCAATGAAACAAAGGAGCTGCCAACGGCCTCGTTTGATAGCACCTAAAAAGGTTAAGTAATAGTGTTTGGATGCAATTTTAAATTTAACTTATTTAAATTTTTCATCTTATTTGACCAAAAAAAGTGAGATTTTTTTAAGTTACAGTTTGTAGTTTTTTTTTTTTCTTTTTCCCCCAGCTTATGTAAAACACTTAAATACATACTGGACAAAGAGCCCCACTTCTCTTTTCGTAATTATAATTTTTTGAGGGTATTTTAGATATTTGCACAACAAAAAGCTATATCACAGCTTCTTTAACCAAACGGATTCAATTTTTTCACAAATTATCAAGCCACACCAAATATATTTACAACTTATTTTAAGTCTTTTAAGCTAATAATAAAAAATTCTATAACCATAAAAACTAGCTTATAAGTGATACCAAACGGACCCAAAGCATATATTAGGTGATTTGAAAAGCATGAAAGAAAGCTAACCTGTAAGTGTTACTTCCTGATAGTTCATCCCCACTTTTGATGAAAAGTTCTAAAGCATGTAATACTTCTGAAGTTGAATACCACAGATGAGGATGATCATAGGAATCATCAGCTGTTTCTTTTAGGAAAGCTCCCCTGGATATCAGTTTTCTATTATGGTGATATCTTTTTCGTATGGACGCTTGTGATGAAGAAATGATGTAGGGATCAACATCTGGGAATGCCACAATTACATCCCTGTTTTTATCCTGTTTCAATATCACAAGATAAAATCTCTTGTTCAATGTCCCTGTTTGAGATGTTAATGATTTAGAGTATCTACATAGTCTTTCATTCGTAAGACCCAAAATACTAGCAAACTATTATGCAGTATAGCTTCAACATAGATTACGCATATTGAGAATCATCCAATATTTGAGACACCCTGTTTGAGAGTTTATTAAGCAATCCAAGTTCACCGACTTACCAGAAAATTGAAGTGGGATTAGAACATTTATATCCAATTAAAAAAAATAAATTAAACTATTCTATTTAGGCTTGTTTGCAAGAAAATTGGTTCCTGGTAATTGTGTTAAAATAACTTACAATTTTAACAATAATTTTTAGGAGTTACTAAGAAGAAAGCCATGATTACTTCATGGTAGAAAATAAAAAATTTATTAAGTTGGTTACTTACATAGGCACCATCTGTGCAATTGTAAACTGTGTGATATAGTATATCCCAGGCATCTTGCATTGATGAAACATATTTCCCGTAACGTCGTCTTGAATAAATATCAATCCACATCTGAAAGAAAAATACTAGTGCATTGAATGGTATAGTTGGCATAAAAAATGTTTGCAACAGATAAATCTGTCAGATATACTATCAATTGCCTTGTGATTTTCCAATATCTAAAAATGGAAAATATCGACAAAAATATGCAACAATTTGGGGCATAATGAAACAAAGCATTACCTTCACATCGATTTTATTATGTTGAAATGCTATTTCAGCCATAAGATCATAAACAACTGGATTTTGTTCAGTACCCTCCATCGACATTCCAACACCAACCTTAGATATGTAAAAAGGCAGGGTGAGATTGAGATACATGAATAAAGTGAAATTTAAAAATTTAAACAGAAAGGCAAAAAGCATTGTGGAGTAAAATAATTATGTTTCATAGGCATGCAATTTGTAAATATGCATGTGGTGTTACTGTGGCCCGCACACATGCACGTATGTGTGAGAGTGTGAGTGTGTGTGTGTGAGTGTGAGAGAGAGAGAGAGAGAGAGATTAGCAAATTTCATGCTTCATCAAAGTGCTTTGAGCGAGGAAGGATGACCAAGGAGATCAATTCAAGGCCCATGATTATAAATTACATATTGAAGGCAGTTCTATTCTTGTACATTAACTATAAATAGACTTGCCATTGTTGAGTTTTCACTCATTCGGGCGTCAATAGGTCCTGATCCTACAGCATCTAAGACGCCATACATCTCAATGTTCCCAGCAAAATTGTGCAGCATACACCTGTAAGCAGTACACCATCAAAATCAGAAATGAAATAGTGGGGAAAACATGAGAGAGAGAGAGAGAGAGAGGAAAGTTCTTTGCAGTTGCAGAACTAAGCTTTCTTATATTTCACACATTAATTGATATATATTACGTACAAGCAGAAGCCAATAACTAGCTACAATCTGTGAACATAGAAAGTGTCGAACATAAACAAGGCTTCGGGCACAGAAACCAAGGAAAAGATATATGTGTAAGTGTTTATGTGGAGAAAAATATAGAGTTGTCTGCAATAGTCCTGCCATTTGAACACCTGCAAGAGTTAAAATGGCAAGTGGGTTCTGCAGTGTAAAACATGAAGAACATTTTCAAGAATTATGAGCAACTGGGCTACTGGTTCAAACTTAAAATGCTGGCAAATACCCAATTTCAAACTAGCCAACCAATCCCAAACAATTTTCATCCCCAAGCAGCAAGGAAACCTAAATATAAGACACTTAAAGGCATTGTGACTTCACAATTAATTTGAAGTAATAACTGACTTCAAAATAATTTACTAGAATAATTTGAAGTAAATGACTTCAAAATGAAGGTAGGTTTATAGCAAGTGTTAGAAGTTTATAACTGACATTAGTCATGTCAACCAACGTGATGTTAAAACAAATAAATGACACTACAAAAAATTTCCTGTTATGTCTTTAACTTATCACTGAGAACGAGGGGGGAAAAAAAAGGAAAAGAAACAGTCACTTTCCAGATGTAAGGAACACCATAAAACTGCTCTGAAGTAGGCCATATAGGTTTCACTTCTGCAAAGAGATCAAGGACAACCATTCTTCCAACAGGAACAGAATGTAGAAGTGCCTGAAATGTAACACGTCATTGCAACCGGATGAACAGCATAATTCACAAATAGTTAAAAAAAACAAAGAAACTGGAAAGCAGCAGCATGAAACACTTAAAATGGATTGAAAATACATATATTTACCGCAAACCAATCTCTAGAATGTAGATTGGTATAAACCAGAAACCGCCATGTACAGCAGTAAGTGAATACAAACAATGATGTGAGACAGGCTTGTGTGTGTATAACACACAAAAAGTTTCTGAAGATAACATTATATGCTACAAGTCCTGTGTCTGTTCAAATCTAAATGGAAAATCCTCAATGTGTAGTAACTTATCTGAAAAAAATCCTCAACATGTAGTAGACCTTTGAACAATCCAAGGTCAAGAGGGATGTTCTTTCATATATCCACCAAAGCAAAATATGAGGGGATTCTTTAAGCTAAAAAGTATAGACATGGGCACGGACACGGAACACAGATACAACACAAAATGAACAATGCCTGCCAACATGTCAATTTAAAAAAAAAAAATAAAACTAAAATTAAATCAGGACACAAACACAACAAGGACTTGACAACGCATAAAAGCACACTTTTCATGTCTCGTGAAAATGATAAATATTTCTCCATTTTCTACATCATACAAATATTTATATGTTGTTGTATTGGACTAGTAAAAATCAATTTCCACATTCTACACATTAAAAAATAAGTATGAACAAAAAGCTCCTAGTATCTATTTTAAAAAGCTTTATTCCTAAACAAATAGGAAGCTTTGGGATTTAGAATTTCTAAAATTAAAATGTCTAGGAAGAGGGAGTAATAGGTATAAATCCACATTGTTTTTAGACACGTTTGGATGTGTCTGACAAGTGTCGGGGAGTGTCCCACAGGTATCGTTGGGTGGAATTTTGATTTTGTTAATTTATGACTCGAAGTTAATCTTTAAGGTTGACCCATGAGATCTCTTGAGGCATGTGTCTCCAAAATACCACCCCGTGCCTTGCTAAACAGCCCAGTAAATGACACTAATAATGAGATTTTGGATTTTTTTAGTTGACTAGTTTGTGGCTGATGGACATTTTCCATGAGAAAAAAACACATTTACCTTATATGTATTTCTCTTCGAGTAATACTAGGGATCATGAAGAAAATATCATAAAGATGATCATGAAAGATTTTCCACTCTTGGATTACAAATACAATAAAACACCATACACTAATCAAATGATGAAAATATTTCATGAAGCATTTCATGATATTTTTTTTTATGATCCCTAGTATTATTCTTTTTCTTCTCTTTCTCCAGAAAGTCAAATAATGGGGATGAAAAGGGGCTCTACGTTTCATCAGACATATCAGGTGCATGAGTATTAAACAAATTACACACATTAGGTGCATGGTTTGTGCTTCAAATTTTGAAAACTTTGAACACCATACTCAAACAAGTAAATGAATCAAAAATCTAAATGATTTCCCGATTCACATGAATAGGTTAAACAACTGAAAGAACAAATATAAAAAGAACACGAAATGACCTTCATCTGTGGAGGCCTCCAGAATGGATCATATGAGAAAAGCCATCCCTACAGGACAAAACTAGATTAATTATAATGTCATATCAATAGGAGAAGCTATAGTAATTAAAAACAACCACTAGTTTATAATAATAATAAAGAAGAAGAAGAAGAAGAAGACGAAGAAGAAGGAGAAGAAGAAGAGAAGAGATCAGACTGGAACAGTGCAAAGGAGATCCAACTTTTTTTTTTCTTTGGGGCAAGCAATTTAAGTTCCAATTTATTACAACTATTGCTATGATTCTAGTAGTATAATATTATTATTATTGTTTGTTTGCAGGGCATAAGTTTCAATAATTAGACTATACACATGGCAGTAAATTGCCTGACAACTATTCAAAATTTATCCATTGACCTGCATTAGCCAAACTGCGTTGTTATCGCCGCTTTGCATTCCCCTAAAAATTGCAGCACCTAAAGAAGAAATGTACTCTGGGTCATCATCAGGTGGAGTGTTTTCGTCAAAAGTATCACTGCAAAAGATTCAGTAAACTTTTAGTATAATGAAATATGATTTATAAAAAAGTAAATAATTTTTATAAGGAATAACATGATGATAAGGTGCTTATGCTTTAACAAATGCATCACAAAAGGGTGCCTGTGCCAGCATGTGACTATATAAAGTAATGTAATGCCTTCAACTCAATAGAGAACATGTTAGGGAGAAATTTGTAAAGATTTTACAGTGTTGCCGAAGGGATCCTAGGAGTGATTCCTAGAATTTTCTTCTTGGTAATTTTCTGCCTTTTAGTCTTTAACATGGCCAAAACCATATATGTTCTCAACTCCTAAAGAAACACAGTGATGGTTTAAAACATACCGATGCCTCTTCTGAGCTTAAGGGGAAGTCAAATGTGATAGAAACACTGACTTTTCAAAAAGACAAATGAGCGTTGCTTAACCAATAATTTTATTTGGCCAACATGACCTCTTTGGAAGAAAGAATTGCATGAAAAAGATATGGCATATAATTAAGGGGTTGAAAAATGATTACAGGGTCAATAAGTGAAGAACATCTTACCAGTTGTAAATGTGGCTAGTCCTTCCATATTCTGATAGGAGGTAATTCCAACAGCAAAAAAGTCAATAGTCACAACTACTGTGAGTGTTAAAGCATAAAAGGACAGCACAACCACCCAAGAAATTTTATAACAAACTTAGAGGAAGGCAAGGACAAACTTGGCTGAACTCACCTTTCAATTGCTGTTGAACAAATGCTTTCCCAATTTCAACAAATAAAGGATCAGTTGCATCAAGAAGATAAGTGCAGCACCATCTATAATCACCGCCAACAGTAAACCTAAAGCAGTATGAGTATTTTATTAAAAATGAGAGTTCGTTATGAGTCATCAAACTATAAAAAAACATAAAGAAGATAAGTGAAGAAGTGCTAGTTTCTTCTATCTTTTTTCTGCCCCAGAATAGAAGAAGGAACCATCTGACTGGAATAAGTAGTTAGAAACTTGATAAACAAATTTTCACAAACATGTCTAAGAAAGTAAACCATTACTCTTTTGGTTTTTGTTTTTTTCTCAGTAAGTTAAACAATTGCTTATTTAAAACTCAAACCATCATAACATTTGATGTAACTACATGTGTCAAACTTATGGAAATACTTACCAATTTCCTAAACGTGTTATTCGTGCAGATGGAAATTTACTTTTCAATGCTGCAGGAACATTTCCAGAGAAAGCTGGAAGAACTGGAACACACAAAATGACAACATTAAGAACTAGAACATACAAAATGATGGTCTATCTGTATATATGTGGAAATGAAAAAATATTGTAATTTTTCACACACGAATAAACTTTTCTAGTTTTCAAGCCATGGTTTTCTAACAAACAATCTATGTTCTGTAGTAAAAAGTGATAAGTTTACTTGACTTTTGCAGCTTTGTGCACAAAATTAAATACTTCAGACCATCTGAGTTGCCTGAGAAGCTAAAGTTGATGGGATGTATATCAAGTTCTTGGACCCTCCATAGCATGAACAAAATGGAGTGTACATGGTTGAACAGAATGGGGAAATAAATACATGAAGAGATCTCAGCCAAAGATTCCTCAAATAAAAGCAATGATACTGTAACATAGATAGCTTAGGCAGTGTTGGATCCAATTGACAAAGCCAAGTTGAGTTGTTATTTTGCATGACCATATTACAGTGTTTTAGGATACATTAGTGTCTGACAATTTTCACCATTGAGTGTTTAGCATGTTATGCTAAAGTCAAGTCAGACTCAAAAGATCAACCGTGTTACTTAGTTTTGCAAGGGGCTGTGAATGAATAAAATGTCAAAACTTCTATTTGTGTATTTGTAATTGGAGCTAAAAATATGACTTGGAACATCTTAGGTTATATATTTGAGAAGTCGTAATTTTAAGTCACTCCTAAGATTTTCAGATTTGTTCTCCGATGAGAGAATTGACTTTTTATTTAATTGGAATTTCGTTGTTTTGATATTTCCATTGAATTCAAATGGTGAGTATTTCGTTATTTACATGCATTATCTTAAGTAAAAGGTAAAATGAGGACATGTACTTAAAAGATGTGGAGTGTAAAGCTAGAGTACAAGTGCAACCAAGTGAGAAGCAGAAGCTGAGTTGTACACAGGCAATATGCTTGGAGAGATATTTTGAAGAGGCACTACTCTGCAGAGATGATTAGTGATTAGTCCATGAGCTTGCTTTATATCATTATTTCTTGAATAGAGATCAGTTTGATAGATTTCTAGGCTTTGGTGGATCATGTTTAGTTCGGGGTGGATTCCAGAGGTGTCCTGGGCTCGATCCTCAAGAGATTATGGATTCAATCAATACAATAGGCACACCTGAAGTTTGTTGATTCGACACCCCAGTCACATGAATTTGGCTAGGGTTGGGCTGTAAGTTGCAACTTGTATTTTGATTCTTGATTATAGAGGATTGGTTGGCTGGACTAAGGTCCTGTGGTTTCCCATTTGGGTTTCCATGTAAAAATCATGTCTTGTGTGATTGCTTGCATCTTTACCTACATAATAATTAATTTGTCTTAATTAATTAATCAACCACAACGCACCCTCTAATTGGTACTATGAAAATCCAAGGTTCGGAATTGGTAAACAATAAATTTTCAGAAACTAGGTAAAAAAAAAAAAACGCTTGCCCTAAAAGTTTACATCATTAGGGATTTAGCCAAACAATATCAAGCTCTCACAGCCTCCATCCCATGCAATCTCCTCTCGCACATGGGGAGATATAAAAACACACAAATAGAATAAAATGTGTTAAAACCTATCACCTACTTCACCCACTTAAACCTACTCCACTAAACCTAACCCACTACACCACTACCACCTCACCTACTCCACTAAACCTAACCCACTACACCACTACCACCTCCACTTCACCTACTCCTTACCTACTACACACTCACCCTCTTCTATATATAGGAATCATGAATCATTGTAATAAATAGATAACATTATATCAATCAATAATACAATTCTCTATTTCTATTTATACATTAAATTTCTACATGGTATCAGAGCCATAAGATTTAGACCCGTATTTTGTTTTCTCACAGGCGGGCAGCCGGCCGGCAACCTTGCCTTCGCTGCCCGCTGGAATTTTGTACACGTACCTTCACTTTCCTGCATCTTCCAACTTTCTTACAACTGTTGTCCCATAGATGGGCTTCATATCTACCAGTCCATCTATGCCTTGTGACACCTCTATACTGTGAAGTCCTCTGTCCAAATGTATCAATGGACTTCCTATGGCATGTACACTAGCCTATTCGTTTTCTGCGGACAGCAAGCCCATCTCCTGGTTGGCCATGTTCTTCCTCTCAGATCTCTCCCTGAAGGTGCTGTTGTTTGGGTACTATTCCAAGACTTTGGTTGGCCACCAGTGCTGCCAAATTGAGATCTCTTTGTCATTGTAAAGCTTTCTGATTCCTCCATCAAAGCCATCGACTTCATTGCCTACTTCTCTGTGGTGCTTCCTATTTCTTGCCACTGTCCTCCATCGTGACCCCAGGGTGTACTGTTTGAACTCCAGCATTACCGTGTCACTATTGTGACATTGGCAATGGGTTCTGCTCCCTTCGCATGGTTCAACGTGACCAACAACTCCATACCACCAACCATAAGGGAACTCATGGTTTCTTCTCCACTGATCTCCTGGGTTTAAATCATCTAAACAATCAGAGACATGAAGAACATGTGCAGGAATATCGACAGCTGGTACTTCACGACTCACTGCCCCTTCAAGAATCACTGCTGCTAAAGCAATTGCCCCACATGGGCTTGTCCCCTTCTTTTCATTTCTTTATTTATTTATTTATTTATTTTTTTTCTTTTACTCACCCATGTGACCCACGATGTCCCAACCTATACTTTTTCTTTTCATTACACTCTTGTTCCCCACTTTCTTTATTATATATATATATATATATATCTCTTTTTATTATATTATATTAAAAAAAAAAAAAACATCATCATCTCTCCTCCGTTTGATTTCCAACTCTATTATTCACTCTTAGGCAGTTCTTGGTTCTCATTCTTCACTTTTCCTCTGCTTTCATTGTTACTATTACTAAATTTACACTTTATGTACTCTGTCTTAGTTCTGCTTATCCGAAATCCTTTAGATTCAAGAGTTTTTCTCCAAATCTCCAACTTTGTGTTAACTCTTTCTCTAGTCTCATCCACTAACACAATATCGTCTGCAAAAAGCATACGCCATGGCACGTCATCCTGAATATTTATCGTCAACTCGTCCATAACTAAAGCAAAAAGATAAGGACTTAAGGTAGATCCTTGATGTAACCCTACAGTGATAGGAAATTCATTTGTCTCTCCAGCTGGCGATCTAATAGTGGTCACCACCCCTTCATACATGTCCCTAATCACGTCAATATAGCCTTTTGTCACCCCTTTCTTCTCTAACGCCCACCATATTATATCTCGGGGCACTCTGTCATATGCTTTCTCAAGGTCGATAAACACCATATAAATGTCTCTATTCTTTTATTTATACTTTTCTATTACTCTCCTCAAAAGATAGATCGCTTCCATTGTTGGCCTACTAGGCATAAACTCAAATTGATTCTCTGACACCTCTGTTATGTCTCACAATCGGCGTTCCATCACCCTCTCCCACACTTTCATTATATGACACATTAGCTTAATTCCTCTATAATTGTTACAATTCTGGACATCACCTTTATTCTTATAGATTGGCACTAAAATACTCTTCCTCCACTCATCTGGCATGTTCCTAGTCAACAAAATTTTGCTAAACAACCTAGTCAACCAAGCAACTCCCTTTTTACCCAAACACTTCCAAGCTTCAATAGGGATATCGTCAGGTCCTAAAACCTTATTTGATTTCATCTTCTTAAGTGCAATCTCCACTTCAAAGTTTCTAATCCGGCGATAAAACCTATAGTCTTGGTTTATCGTATTACTGATTATTTATTCCCCTATTGTCGTACTTCCATGTTCCTCATTTAACAGTTTCTCAAAATAATTCTTCCATCTTTCCTTAATCTCATCATCCTTCACCAATACTTTAGAATCCTCACTTTTGATGCACTTTACTTTCTTTAGAAATACATAGTTTAGAAAAAGTTCCCCATAATGGGACATGCCAATACGATAATGAAACAATGCCTGACTATATTGTTGACTTCAACAAGTTTTCAAAATATTATGAGTTGATTTTCCCTGAAATGATCAAATACAGGGGTTTGAAGGACTCAGATGTTGATAATTTTGTTGAGGACGTGGATAGAGGAGAAACATGTGCTGTGTCTCTCTTCAAGGCAGTGGGTAGTATGATGAAAGGAGGAGACACAGCACTGGAGGGGACACACACAGCAGAGGCGGTGAACAAAATAAAATAAAATAAAAACATATCAACACACTGCAGCAGCAGAGGGAAAAGGGCAACACACACAACACTTGCTTTATTTCTTTATTTATTTCTTTCTTTTCATTTCTTTATTTATTTATTTGTTTGTTCATCCACCGCCCACATCCCTCACTTTCTTTAAACCCACTTTTATTTTATTATCTACTCAACATACCTATCATTTTTTTTTCCTACTACAAAATATTATACTAGCCTTCATGGATTCCACTGGCTTCCACCACTTCATTTTATTTATTATTATTATTATTATTTTCAAAAAACAAAAAAAAACAAAAAAAAAACAAACACCAAACTACATTCATTCCAGTTGATTTTTCTGCATTACCACACCTACCATTCGAGTTTGCCAAACACACTTGCTTTATTCATATCAGGGATTCACCCCGCTCACCATTCTACACCAAAAAATAAAAAATAAAAAATAAAAAATAAAAAACCACAAACAAACAGAAACAAAACAACCACACCCACAGTGGGATTTTTCTTTTCCCTTCTCTACTCTACTGCAGGTCTCTTCTTCTTACTTTTATCTTGGGTGTCCCGTGCCAATCCTGCCTCCGTGTTTCCCGCTCCACTGGGCACGATCACAACTCCCTGCTCCTCCACTACAGCATACGGCGGCCCTCCAAATCGGAACATCACAGTGGCCTTCCGCTTCAGCTCCTTATTTTCCGCCTTTAGCACACTTATCTCTGCTCGCGCATCCTTATACATGCGTTGGAGCAGAGCCAGTTGGGCGTTTAACTGTTGCCCCTCATTTGTCCTACTCTGAAGCCGGTGCGACAAATTTGTGACCGCAGTCATGGTTTCCACACATGACTTCAAAGTATACTGATTGGCCTCAATATCAGTTTGCACCGCCATTTTTTGCTCCACCGACAGAAATGGAAACTTCATAAAATTAGCCCAGATATAGCTTATGTAGTAAGTAAATTAAGTAGATATACGAGTAACCCAGGAGTAGAACACTAGAAAGCAATTATAAGGGTTCTAAGATACCTCAGATTTACTCATAACATTGGGCTAAATTATACTAGATATCCAACAGAACTTAAAGGATACTGTGGTGCAAACTAGATATCGGATTTCTAATCTTGCGATAGAACCTATAGTCTTGGTTTATCGTATTACTGGTTATTTCTTCCCCTATTGTCGTACTTCCATGTTCCTCATTTAACAGTTTCTCAAAATAATTCTTCCATCTTTCCTTAATCTCATCATCCTTCACCAATACCTTAGAATCCTCACTCTTGATGCACTTTACTTTCTTTAGAAATACATAGTTTAGAAAAAGTTCCCCATAATGGGACATGCCAATACGATAATGAAACAATGCCTGACTATATTGTTGACTTCAACAAGTTTTCAAAATATTATGCCTTCCCAATATGGTGTAGTCTTGAATTGAAAAAGTAACCGGAATAGAATGGAAAGGAGTACAAACAACAAATGGTACCTGGAGTCATCCCAAATTCATACATTCTGGCAAGAATTTTCTTCTGTAAAGTTAGTTGTTGATCTAACCAACTTTGAGGTAGAGGTCCGCCCCATCTACATTTGAAATATTGTACTTGTATGTAAAAGACAAAAAGAGAACAAAACAAAGAAAAGAAAATCAACTGGAAAAAGAGACAGTCAGCCAATATATGCAATCCTGTAATTCATGGTGGACATTTGACTTGGTTTGGAGTGCAAAGAAGCAACCTTTGGGAGACTGACCTCTGATGTCCAGGTTTTATTGAATTATCACAACTCCTTATATATAAATTGAAGGTGAAATAAGTTTATACTTTCAAATGTGTACTTCCCTCTAAAGCGCCAATTGACCTGTTTTCCTCACTTAAAGAAAGTGTCTACTTCAGGAATTACTTCGACATTGTTTCAGAAAATAGATGAAAGAATCAACTTTAATACGATTGCCATGGATATGATTTTAGGCAATACATTTGGATTTAAGAAAGGGTCATGATTACCATGTTCAGAACAGAGAAACAAGGTTTCCAACACCTCAAGATGTAGATTCCTGTTTACATAGGACTCAAATAGTGAACCGTGATTCAGCTATGAATATACAGATAATAAAGACATTTATCCCTGAGTTGTTCTTCTTCAAATTGTTCAGACCTACCCCCTAAATCTCCCGTGTTACAGAATCCCTTCTTGCAGGAACTAAAGAGAACTGCTTGGAAGTTGTGTCAATGAATTGCTAGAATCAGAATTGACTCAAAAGATTGGTATGTAAAATTATTGAACATAAGCTACAAATGTGGATAAATAAGTCAAAAAGAAACTTTATCAAGTCTGACATTCACGCAATCTTACTAAACATTAAACCAGGGAATATAAGCTCACCCATGAAGATTTCCCATCCGTGACCATGCAAGAAAAGCAGGCCCTCCAAAAAAATCATTCAAATCTGAACTGCTAATATTGAAAGTCTGCTAAAGGATAAAAAAAACACTTCATTATAACAACAGAAAGCTTTAGACACCAAGTTAAACAAGAAAGACAAAATTTTGCAGCAGATGAATCTTCAGTTTCTATTAAAATAATATATATATATATATAATGAACAAATAGACAAATCAGGATATATACATCAAATCCTAGATCAAATTTATGCAAAACCTCAATGAAACACATTAACGCTACATGACAACTTACTATTCCTCACACATGTTATAATATTATTGATCAAACAATAATATTATATGGAAATTTCCATGTTATTATTGATCAAACAATGTATATCAGATTGATGATAGTATGATGTCTGCCTCAAGGTATAAAAAAAAAATGTGGAATACCAAGAGAAAAAACTATACCTGAAAGACTTTTTGCCAAATAGCCTCTTGCCCAGTGAAAGCTAGAGGCAAATTGATACCTTGGAGAGCCATCCAGTCAATCTCCTTTTCCCATCTTTCCCAGTCCCACCAGGTGAATGTATCTTCGGAAAGCATATGACCAAACAAAAAAGAGAAAATTTATCAGAATATAACCTCAAGTTTTGAACCCATATCCACTGGAAATGGTTTTCAGTAGAAACTAAAATTGGAAATTGAAGCTCACAGCTAGATGTAACAGCATTCTGGTAGTAATTCCAAGGAATAGGCCTCTGAACTAAAATTTCATCGCCTTGAACATGAGGAAGAGAGCCTGATTTAGGTACTGAAGATAGTTGTGCCCCACCAGTTTTATCCCATGATATATGAGCCCCACACCAATGCTTCAAGTACCAGTGCAGACCAGCTGAAAGCTCTACTCCAGTGACCCCACTAATTCTAGTTAAAATTATAACAAAAAGGTATATGTGTGAGTTAATGCAATACTCAGTGGATTAAAGTTCAGTGGTATTATACTATGATCTTATAGTTAGTCGCCTTCATGTGCAGTATATTGTACCAACAGAAACACATATTAAGGCAAATAAATCTAATAAGTGTAGTCAATTAGGGTTCAATCAGGGTTTCAAGCCAGCCACAACTAGCTCACTAATGTTACCAGTTAATACTCAATAAACCAAAACTAATGAGTCTTCTACTTCACCAAGCGAAACATGTCATTTTTTTCTATACATTATTTCTTACACAACAGAAACACATATTAAGGCAAATAAATCTAATAAGTGTAGTCAATTAGGGTTCAATCAGGGTTTCAAGCCAGCCACAACTAGCTCACTAATGTTACCAGTTAATACTCAAATAAACCAAAACTAATGAGTCTTCTACTTCACCAAGCGAAACATGTCAAATACTTCCAAACCAGGTTCAATTCTATATTAATAACTCAACCATTTAAACTGATGATATCTCTGGAATTGTAAAGGTCCTTAATTGAACTACTAGTTCGTCTTGGGGTAGAAAAGTTTGACAATGTTGTGCATTATTTTCCTACATAAACTACTTCCCCTTATAGACACAGGATTGATGTGATATATACGATTAGGTAGCAATTTATAACAAAAAAGGACAAAATAATTACCCATTGTTTCTCACGAACGTATTTAAATTTTATGCAAGCAACCAAATATTTGCAAATGGTTGAAAGTTGCTTAAGTGGCTGTAGAAATTTTAATGTATAAAGAGAAATAGAGAATTGTATAGATATTGATTGTATTATTGATTGATATAATGTTGATATCTATTACAATGATTCATGATTCCTATATATAAAAGAGGGTGAGTGTGTAGTAGGCAAGCAACCAAATATTTGCAAATGGTTGAAAGTTGCTTAAGTGGCCTCTCACCATCTCTCTCATGATTTTGCTACAAATGAATTTAAAATCAAGATGAAATCACATTTATTTTAAGACAGACGTTTGACAAATAAACAGATACATTCATAACAAGCACATAAATTCATGAATTGAACATTTTATGATTGATCAAAATAATTGAAGATTCTTTAGTTTTATCAACTGTCTAATCCTCAACTAACCTTCAGACATATTATCTAGACTAGACGGAGAATCCTCCCTATTTTCACAGCAGGTCAAAATCATTGAAATGCACAAACCACCAACTTCATGTGAAACATATAATTCTCCCAAAGCATTAAATGAAAACAGCGGGCAGTATTCAAAACTTTAAAAGGCACATCATATTAACGGATAGCAATAAATTCTCAATCCTCAAGTAATAACAGATCCAGTATCTTCATAGTGGGCATGAAATACTCAGGGCATCCTAGAAGTAAGTGATGGTGACCTGTGAGTTAAATTCTAGACTCGAGGAATTAGATAATCCACAAAACAATTATTATACTTAAAATCACCATTGGCATTTATGTAAGTTACCGTATTTTATTGATGAATTATGCAAAGAACATCAATACATAATGAATTAAGAAGCTCAACATACAAAATCTCTGGAGCGCCGTGTTCACCAACTGAAGGATGATTGTTTATAATAAAGCACAATTCTCCACCACAACGCTCCTATGGGGAAAAAAATGAAGTATAAGAGCTTCACCCATGATAAGAAATTTGTTGAAATCATAAGATTCATAGCCACAAAAAGACAGAATCAACAAAGGGCAAATTATATTAAACCTCCTCAAGCTATCAACCATTTACACTTTACTCCCCTAATGTTTTAAACCCAACAATTACCCCCCTCAAACTATTTGAATTTGAAGGGTTTGTTTGGGATGTTCTAAAAAAGTGCGCTTTTTAACTTATTGGCTTATATGGGTTGGATTTGGGTTGGGTTTCATGTGATGTGTTAGAGAGGTGATGTGATTTAAATAAAATGATGTGACTTAAATAAGATAGTGACTTTTTGACTTTTTATATTATTTAGTAGATGCCAAACTTGGCCTAAATCCTTCTGTTAGACATCTGTTAAATATTTAGATGAAAAATTGTCGAGTGCTATGCACATAATGATTATATTAAATTTTTACAACAAAATAAAATAGGATAATTTAGTTATAAAATTTAATATAATCATCATGTGCACAACACTTTCATCCAAATATCAAACAGAAGGACTTAATGTTCAAATTCAAATAGTTTGAGGGGGTAATTGTTGGGTTGAAAACATTAGGGGGGTAAAGTGTAAATGATCGATAGTTTGAGAGGACTTAATATACTTTGCCCATCAACAAATTATAATTATGATTTCTATTTCAACCTTTCCAAATTTTTCACACCCAGTAAAAGAAAGAAATTCTTTCATTCACACCAAAAAAACAAACAATTGCAATATCATCTACCCAAAATCATTATTGCCTACGGCATAGTTGTTAGAATCGTACGATTCACGATTCAATTCATACAATTCGATACGAGTTTTAACAAAAACGATTTGAATTGTGCTGTTGAACCCGAAATAAAGTGAATCGTACAATTCAATTTACAATTCATTACGATTTACATGATTCACCACGATTCAGTACTATTTTTATTTTTGTTTACATAATGTATGAAACCACGTCGTTTTTCGCCAAGCTATGAAGATAAATAGAAGAGATTAATTAGTTATATTGATATACGTGATTTTATATATATACATAATATATATAATTTAGTGATATTGATAATTTACTTTATTTTAAAAATTGTAGGTATTTTTGTAGGCATATAACTATATAGAATAATATATTATATCAAATAAAATGAATCTTACACTTCACGATTCACTATTTTAGCAAAAGGATTCACAATTTAATTAGCCATTTGACAACAATGGCCTACAGAATCAAAGCTCTAGCAAAATTTATGAACTTCGAAATCAATGTCCCAATTTCTGTTTTGCTACATTTCTAGTTCACTTCAATAGAGATAAATAAAAAACAGCCATCCGAATCTCAATGCTCAAGCAATCAGAATACACAGATTACGCTCAATACACAAAAGAGGTGTCGATTCAGATACAAAACATTGAAGATACCTTAGATACGATCCGAAACTCGAAGCTCGATGAGTGTGAAGGAATGAGGCGATTGAGGACGCCGCGAGCGGCGGATAGTTGGACTGAAGGAAGAGCTCTCTCTTGGTCCTGAATTTCGAGGAGGCGTGAGATGTACTTGACTCCGATCGTCGATGATTGAGTCACTGATAAAATACAGAAGCTGAGGAGGACAATGAAGAAGGTGACTGAATTGACGGGAAATGTAGAAGCCATGGATGATGAAGAAAAAGAAGAGATGGTTTTTGGTTCGGAGGAAACCCTAGGTGGGTGAAGAGGTTTAAAGGAGAGAAGACCATTGTAGAGAGAGAGAGAGAGAGAGAGAGAGAGATTCTGTTTGGAAGAGTACGAGACAAATTGCAGGCCGGCCAAGAGTAGTGAGAGAGAGTGAGTGAGAGCGGATGACGATGTTTTGATGGTTTGAGCTCGCTATGGTTTTCCAATTTAAAATTTCCAACCGCTAGTGGTGGTTGGTTTGGTTGTACCTCGCGGAAGAAGCATGAGCGTTCGATTATAATCAACAATGAGAGCCCTAATTTTTAAATTCTAAAATTTTTTTTTTAATGACGTGGTAAAAGGAAAAAAATAAAAATATAAGCACACATATCATATTTTATGTGAATCTACTTGTTGCCATATTATTAAAGTTATTTTTGAGAGTCTAAAATTAGAACTATCAATTTTTATTCAATTATAATTCAAAAAAATGTTTTAGAACTCTTAAAGAAAAACTCTAAAATAGTATTAATTTATCTTTTTCTTTCTTGTATTTTGTCTTTTCTTTTTTTCTTTTTCTCTTTTTTTGATGCATTGCTAGCTCAGTAGCAGCTCTACTAGAGCTCTCTATCATATTTGTATAATTTAAGACGATAATGTATATCTCCATTTTGCACTTACAAATATATTCACAATAATAGAATAAAAATGGTGAATTTTATATTATTTAGTGTGTAATTAATTAAAAACTTACATTTGTCAAATCATATCATTGTGAATTAAATTATAGAAAATTTATGAGGCGATGGGGTGGCTGTTGTAATGGGGGTGCAATAACCACTGTTTTGTAGTCATATAGGCCCATTTGGGGACCCTTTTTAATAATCCAAACCGTTCACAATTTAGAATAGATCAAAAATAACATACCTGAAAAAAATCAAGTTAATCGGATATTGTTAACCCTTTCATCCACTCACATTTGTATTCATTTTAATACTTTAAATCATAATTATCATGTTATTTTTGTAGATACAAATATGAGTGGATTAAAGGATTAACAATATCCAATTAAATTGATTTTTTGTAAATATGTTCTACTTTATATACTCTAAAATGTGAATAATTCAGATTATCAAAACGAATCTCAAAATAGGCCCAGTATAGCAACCACCTCATTTTCAATTTATGAGGGTCTCAAACATTTTTCAATTTATAAACTCTCTAAGATTTGTTAAAAAAAAATAAAAAAAAAAAAATAAATCTTTATTTTTTATATTTTAAAATCCACATAATCATAATTGTTAGCTTTTTGTTAAAAAAGTTGTAAAAAATTTATGATACAATAAAGGATCACAATGGTTTTTTTTTTTTTTTTTTGAGAAGAAAATCTTTATTACAAAATTGATAAAATATCAAATCAATTTGGTATAGTAGTATTATAATATCTCAAAAAGAGATAAATAACTTTCATAAAAGAAAGGATTTAAACCTCCATAGAGGAGAAGAAAAAGCCTCCACAAGAAGGGAAAACAAATCTCCACACAGAAAGTATTATTATATCAACAAACAAAATTTTTTTTTTTTTTTCTTTTAAAAAAATCTGGATCTAAGTCGCCATCAAACTTATCTAAAACTCCATTGCTTTGAAACTTTTAACTTGAAATATGACAACTCCACTTCCACTTTTCATAAAAGAAATGATTTAAACCTCCATAGAGGAGGAGAAAAAGCCTCCACAAGAAGGGAAAACAAATCTCCACACAGAAAGTATTATTATATTAACAAACTAAATTTTTTTTTTTTTCTTTTAAAAAAATCTGGATCTAAGTCGCCATCAAACTTATCTAAAACTCCATTGCTTTGAAACTTTTAACTTGAAATATGACAACTCCACTTCCACTAGTTAAGATAGGATTACATGCCTTTGCTGTGGTGTTAGAGATTTTTATTTTTATTTTTTTATTTTTTTTAAAGTCAATAGCCTTTGTAAATGGATTCCAATTTTTGTCAAGTTAGTCTAATAGGGTTTTTTACAAAAATCACTTGTTTTAAATGACATGTGTCATACTTTTTAAGAGTAAATGTGTAAATTTATCCACATTCTCATCCTACTCGATAGATTAACTAAATCAAAAATTAACTCATATATATATATAGAGAGATAGAGAAAGAAAATTAGGAAGATGAGACAGGTGTTGGAGGGGTAAGGGAAGAATGACGCAACAACAATTGAATCAGGGAAAATGAAGGGATGTAATGAGGAGTTAGGTAGGGTTTGGTAAGGTTTTTTTGAGCTACCTTATGACTTTTGACTTTTAAAAAGTTATTTTGAATTGTTTGGTTAAATTTATTTCAAACGAACACCTTGTAATTACCTCCTTGTCTAGACCTATTCGTGTGAGACTCCTTTGGGAGAGGCAGTTACTCTTTGTGAGATGTGTAAAGATTTTGAGATTGACTTTGCGGGTAGAGTCTTGTTCGCGAACCTAATTATGTTAGGGTTTGAGGGTTTTGTAATTATTTTGGGTATGGATTGGCTGCAAAAACACTTTGTGACTCTAGATTGTGCTGGAAGGACTGTAAATATAGATATTCTCAGTATGTTACGGCTTACCCACACTTCTAGTGATGGAGAAGAGTCGGTGATGACGAGTTTTCTATGCTCGGTAGAAATCCCTAAGCAGGATATTAGTGAGGTAGATATAGTGCGTGAGTTTGAGGATGTATTTCAGGAGATACTTGCACCTCCTCCTCGACAAGTAGTAGAGTTTCGCATTGATTTAGTGCCAGGAACTACACAAATTTCTAAGGCGGCATACAGAATGATGCCTAAGGAGCTTGTGGAGATGTTTTGTATATGTATATTGTTGCCTCGTTCTCATGAGTAGACGAGTGCTTTGATTTACGCACGTACGTATATACTAACCATCTGGGGAGTGTGGGTCAAACTCGGGACGATATCCCTGTGCAAGTTTAGCTTCGGAGCAGTGTTAGGTATACAGGAGGCACATAACAACTTATTTTAAGTTAAAAAGGTTGATTCTGAGAAGCTGTTCACCCCTTATTTCTGATTATCAGCTTATGCTGCGGACATGTTAATTCACGGTTATACTCTTAGATTTTTTTTATTTTTTATTTTTTTAAAAATAGAAAAAGACTCAAATGGACTATAAAAATATTATCATTATTTTTTATGAAAAATGTAGACAAATAGTGAATAATAGAAAATAAAAATTAATTGAAAAAGCTACTTCACACCTTATTTAACAAACACTACTCAGTAATTTAAATCTATAATCCAACAATTATACCAAACAGATTAACAGCTTCTAATTAAAGTCATAATTTATAATCTGTTAAGTTATAATTTATAATATGTTTTAACAATTACATCAAACATGACCAATATTATGGACTTGAAAAAGAGTGTGTAAAAGGTGACAACTAAGAAAATCAATGATTAGCAGAAATAGGTGGCTTCGGATGACGATTAACACACTTTCTTTTCTCTCTCTACTATTTCTTCTCCTCTACCCTTTTATTTTTATTTTTATACAGCCTCACAAATATTTTTTTTTGGATGATTTGTGGTGTTGGGCCGAAATTGACATTGTAGAGAAATAAGAAAAATAATATAAGTTGGATGTAATAAGGCGACAAAGGAGTTTTGGTGGTAGTGGTGGAAGAAGAAAGTTTGGATAAGAAAAGATGAAAGGTGTAGGTAACGGTGATAGGAATGTTTAGTTGAAAGTGTTAGTTAGAATCAGAGTTCGTGGTTGATTTATAAATGTGTCATGTGAGATGCATATAATCATTTTTTGTTGAAAACCTTAGCAAAGGTTATCAATTAGAATAAATGGGCACAAAACCAATAATTAAGAATCAAAATAATGTTGATTAAAACTGCACATATCACGAGACATAAAATGCAAATTCTATAGATATAATTTTACAAATAAGAAAATTTACATTTTATTACACCGTTAAACTTTACAATAGTGAGAAAAGACATCCGTGTCATTTAGTTCTTTGAAATCGTCAATAACCTTAGGTATAGTTATTAATATTTATTTATTTATTTGATTGGCATAGGTATACTAGAATAATAATTTGTCCTTTTGTTGGTTTTGTTGACAAAAGAGAAAAATAAAAAGACCTATACACTTGTTAGCAGGCAGGAGTGTTTTGAAAAGATGGTTAAAAGTTATTTTTTAATTTTTTTTATGAGAGAAGAAAGTGGGTTAAACTCACTTCCCAAAACACCCCTTAGCCAAGTTGGTGGCAAATAGGGCCAGACTAGTAGTTGTGGTCCGACTCGAACACTGGGCTTAATATCAGTCATGGGCTTTGGCTAGCCATAGACTAGTCCGAGGGCTCATCTGGGTTATTGTAGATCCAATTCAACCCAGTAGTGCTACAAATACTCGAAATTTTGGTTATTGAAATCACTTATAAATATGGGGAAATTCCAGTTCAGTGTAAACATTGAAAAATAATTACAAATTGATTGTAAATTTTATCAATATTAATAATTAAAATAATAAATTTTTGCATACGTATATAATAATTTTCCCAACTTCCCACTGACAAGTAATTTTCACTATAAATATTGTGTGTTTATATATAAATATGAATATTGATGAATTCTCGGAATTCATATAATTTTGTAATTCAACCTAAAAAACCTAAAAGCAAAATTGGCAACACTGAAAAAGGTCACATTTTAAATGATTTTTTCCTAAAATTTGGGTCAATTTTTTTTTAATAACTTTTTCGGTCCATGTAAAGACTCCATAAAACATAACATGATAAGTAACTACTACATGAGCTCGTAAGAAAATTTGAAATTTTCGTTTGCTCTTATAGTAGTACCCTACCATCTATATGCTAGTTGTGGGTATATATGTGATGCTTTTATAATTTTATATTTAAATTTTTAAATAATTTGATAAATGAAGAAAACATATAGTGATTTTGGACAGTTGAGCATTTGTTAAAAAAATATACATATTTTATATAATAATATAAGGGCAAATTACATATACACCCCTCGAGGTTTGGCTAAATTACAGATGCCCCCCTGAGGTTTGAGAAATTACGAATTCCCCCCTGAATGCTATATTTGCATAAGAAATTAGGGGGTAATTTGTTATGAAATATAAACCTCAGGGGGCAAATTGTTATGAAAATACAAACCTCAGGGGGCGGGATGTAATTTCTGAAACCTCAGGGGGGTATCTGTAATTTAGCCAAACCTCGAGG